GGGTGAAGCCCCACTGCAAGGCAAGAGTGTTAGTTTTCCTGGAGTTCCACTTTAAAGTGGTTGTAAACCCTTACATATACCCAGTGAAATGACAGGTCTTAGGTGATACACAGAAATGAAACAAATCCTCCTACATTAGTTGTACCTGTCTATCTACAGTCTTCTCCTTCTACATCCATTCAAAGTGCTGAATTTATAAAGCTTTTCTGGGAGTTCATTAAAAAAGGGGGCGGAGAGCTGAAACTGCACTCTGCAAAGCTCAGTGAGTAGAGTTCTGAGAACTGATTGGAGCGAAGAGTCACACCCCCTCCACACAGCTCACTGGAAAAGAGCTGAGGCTCTCAATCTGTTGGAGGCCCCTTCCCTGTCACCATTTTATTCTTGTTTTCAGGAAAACATGTCAGAAGTTACTCATGCTGATAACAAAAGAATGACGCAGCAGACAAAAGTAACTCTTAGTGTTCTTAACCCCTTTGCGCCGGTGCCTCCTGGCCCTTTAAGAGTTTCAGAAGCCGGGAGGTGGGGTTTTAGGGTTGTGTGACCACCATGATACACTATAGAAGGATATGCTTTGTTCATATTTCATGCCTGAGGTTTATAACCTCTTTAAGGAAGGTGATGGATTAGTTGAGAAAGTCAAGATGTGGATATCGCAGTACCTGGATTTTTGGAGTTCCAGGGCGTCTATACAGTTTCTACAATCTACATCCCTGGTGTCCGAGGGCCACATGCAGCCCTTTGGTATGTGATGTGTGGCCCTTGGACCTCTGCAGTCTGTAGTGAGAACATTGATTAGCATAATAGCATTGATCTCTATTAGCCTCATATAACATGTTCACAGTTTCATATTGTCTTCTGAAGCATATCCCCAGCCAACAATATAGCATGTCCACAGCCAAAAAAAAGTTTTAGTTTTTGATACAGTGGAGACGAATTACAATTTCTGTTCGAGATTAATTTCTGTCTGTGACTTCATGGGGGGGGAGGGTGATTTTGTCTTCCTTCTATGTGACACCCATACAAAAAATGGATGAGTGGTTGTTACTAGGACATGAAGGCACGGGCAACAGTTAGAACATTATGAAGAGCTTCAACCATTCTCAACTATAGATCTGACAAAGAATGATGAAAATCTTGCCAGCAAGAATATGGACAGAAAAAAAAAACCTGATAGATGAACTAGCCCATCCAAAATGAAACAAAATAATTTTGGTTCCAGTTGGACTTAATCTTAATAGCATAACATCAGATTGTAAGATTACCCCATACTTTTGAATAAAGATTTTATTGGTGTAAATGCATTCGTTTTCACAGAGATCCATGTGAAACTGTATGTTCAGATCACACACTATATACTGTTGCTATCCAATTGAAATAAAAAACAAACTTGTTTTTATTCAAAGCAGTCCCTATATTTAAGGCACATTCAGGTAAAACTGAAAACAAAAGCTTGATGCATACAGGGAACACATCTTGCTTGTTCAATGTTTGACTGACAAGTTAAAGTGGAGGTAAACTCCACCATACTTGCCTCTCGTCAATGGTCCGTTATCCCACATCGGCATCTTCTACCTGGCTTCTTCCAGGTGCCAAGTAGTGGACTTTCTCATTGGCCATTGGGGATCAGGTCACTTCTGCACATGCGCAGGAATGCAGTCATCCTAGCACAGCCGTTGTGCCAGGATGTAGATGCGCAATTCAGTGCACATTCCACAGAAGACTGCGAGCAAGCAGGTAGGTTTCTTTTATTGCAGAAGGGACATTGCATGTCTCTTCTGCAATAAAGGGCCTGCCTGCTTGCAGTTTTCAAAAGTGGGAATTTAGTTTTGCTTTAAGTCCTGTTCTATTTGTCAGTCTGTTAGTCTGGGATCCTCTGCAAAAGGCTTCTTGCTGTCACACAAAAAGCTTGATGGGGAAAAAAAACAGAAATACAGAAAGGAGCAGCAAACTAAAGGCAGATCATTTTAGTTGTTGGTAAAAAAACTAATCTATAAACATCCAAAATGTTTCAGGGGGCAATGCCACTCCCCCTTCATCAGGGCTCAGTACAGGATAGAACAACTGGAGTAACAACTTGACAGCAGTTGGGCAGCAATAGAGTAAAAATTATGCTGAAAATAATTTTTTACATAGCCAGCAGTCATAATTGAACCTGCTTTAGATGCCTGAATGTGACGTGGAAGTAGAGAGGAAACATTGGGGCTTGAGATGGTACACTCCCATTGTTTCTTTAAAAGAAACTGATCCCAGTTGCATCTGTCTCTGAAAACTGAGAGATCAAACACTGCTGATCGCTCAGTTCTGCCCTCCGCTCTGAGCATAAAGTGGTGACTGTCAGTGACCACTTTCTGCTTTGCTCCTCCAGCTCTCACTGGAGTTCCAGGCTGTGAAGGGGGTGGAAGAGGCTAACTGTCAAAGGGGCTAAGTCAGCTGCTGACTTAGCCCAGGCATCTGGTGGATCCCAACTGTAAAGTCATGATCTTTGCAGTGCTTCAGCCAGCGGAGTTATGTGGCTTTAACCCCGCTGTTTGCTGAAAATGGGTCACAGGAGTGCAGAACGAACTGCACTCATGTGATCCATGGGAGGAGTATAACCAAAATAGTTTTGCCAATACTACTTCTTTAAAGTGCTGTCTGGTTTCCAGCTGTAGTTACACAGAATTCAAATAACAGTAATAATGGATGACATTTGAGCACAGTTGCAGTGTTTGCTGAAGAACAGTGGAAGCTCACTGATTGGTTTCACTTGTTGAGTTGTGTGGGTACCTTTTTACTGATACTGTGTTACCATAGTCATTTGTAGTACCAAAGAGAGATGGAGACAGCCACATGCCATCATTTTTAAACCATTTAATTTGTAACACTTTTTTTGCTTTTAAGTGAGTTTTCTGTTTTTATGGTGCTCTATGCTATACATCTTTGTTATAATGATTACAGTTAATACAATTTAAGTTTATAATAAAATTGTTTTAAGACTAAAGATTTTCTCATCATTTACTTATTTATAATTTTTTAACAGATATCAAGAAGCCTCCAATAGCTCCAAAGCCAAAACAAGTATCTGTTCAGAAACCTAGCCCACCACCAGTTGCTCCAAAGCCAGATGTAGTTCAGGCCAAAGTGTCACCAGCTAAGAAATTAAAACCAACAATAGCTCCAAAGCCAAAGGTCCTTCAAAGTTCATCTGTTTCTGAAGAGCGGAGACAAAGCAACATTAAATCAAATGGTATTAACAATGATGAGCACGAAGGTGCTGAAGCAGAAAAGCTCATTTATAAGCATGAAACCTTGGCCAACAACGAAAGCTCAAATGTAACATATATCATTTCACCTTGTTCTTGTGGTTTTGACTGCAATCACAAGCTTGGTAATGGGAATTCCTTTCAGAAAACCCAAAAGGTTATAGAACAGCTGGAAAACTTAGAAAATAAAAAAATGTGTGGGCAGCCAGTTCCTTGTGTAAGAACAAGATGGAAACCTTGCACTCAGGAGGACAAGCTGGCTAGAGCAAACCAAGTCATTCTGAGGGCCAGCATTTTAGAAGACAAGGTTAAAGATGTTATAACTCATAATCTCTTTACCAATGGACACACTTGCAAGCAAGAGAACTCTGAAAAAGCCGTTAGGACAACAGGTAACAATGTTACTGCAAGCTCAACTGAATTGAGTGAGTGTGATTTACCTTTTTCAAATATGGATAAACTTAATTGTAACACACAAAAACATAATTTATCATTGAAAGAGTCTGCTGCTGCTCCCTCTCAGGATGTTGTTCTGTCTAATCCAGAGCATGAATCCATTGATCATGTGAAAGAATGCAATGGTATATCACTTGACAAAGGGCCTTTATCCGCAGAACACAGTGGAAGGTCCAAATGTCTACCACGAGCTCCACCTCCACATAAGTGTCTTCCAGTTCCAAAACCAAGGAAGTCTCGAACACAATGTCTTGTAAGACAAGATTGTGTGGATGGCACTGCAGAAAGCAACAGTGATCAGGGAACATTCAGTGATAGTTCACCAACAAACCTTCAGCAAAGAAAGGGTGAAGTTGGGCATTCTACTGATGAAAACATTCTACCTAACATTTTAGATCCAAGATATCAGAATATTCAAAATTGTGAATCTATTGTTGGTCATTCAAGTACAGAACTGACTCCAGTTGGTTTGAAATTGAAACTGAAATTAAATCTGTGGCTGAGGAAGATAGCAATTTTAAAAGGTGTAGTTCCCTGTCAATGAGCTTACCTAAACAATTGAAACTTATTTACGAACAGCAGCTGCCTGTTAGGAATGCTGCCATAGAAAAGCACCTTTCTCCCAACACACCAGCTGCAAGTTCACCAAGAGTTGCTCCAAAAAAGCCTCAAAGATTCAGCCTACCTGCAGTTGGACTACTCAAGAAGGCTGCTTCTGAGGAAAAACTTTCCAGTTCCAACGATGGCAGCTCTTATGGTACTTTAGGACACGAAGGGACTTCCCAAAACCAGTCTCAGACTTCAGAAAAACCATTGTGGAAGTTGGAGCACCCAATATTACCTTTTCTAGGAAGCCCAGAATCACTCAAAATCTCTTTAAGTAATGACAGTACAACTCCACTCACCAAGCCCAGAGCTAAATCTTTGTCTTCTGTGGATATGAATAGAATAGAAAACCAAACAAATGAAAGTCCTAAAAGAAATGCATTAAAGAAGTTCCTGAACTTGAAACTATCAGTTTGTGTAATAAAAAATGACTTTCAAAAATTCCTGTCCCGTGGCAGTTTATCAGGAGACAGTAGCACCTCTGATATCTTTTCTTGTACTGGACATTCGACGTCACCAACTTTAGAGAGGAAGGTAAAGCCTTCAAAAGCACATTCTGCCGATTCCTTCAGTCCACTGTCTAAGAAAAAACAAAAAAACAAGAATGACCTCAGTACTGTAAATTACCCCACCTCAAAGTCTTTGGATGACAGTTTGGTATCACTACAGAGACCACAGGTGGCACCTTCAACAGAGATGCTAGAGTCTGATATTCCACAGTATGAAAACATATGTCACTATGAAGAAATCCCGGAATATGAAAATCTGCCATTCACTGTAGTATCCGATATAAATGAATGTGATTCAACTATTTATGAGGTAGAAGATCCGATTGAATCTGTTCATTCTTCAGCAAGCCTGAAGGTAAACCACAGGTAGGTGCCACACTTTAATTCATGCTTTCTAATTTTAGTATTCTATGTATGTTATTTGATTAGATATGCAGGTAGTTGATCATTTTAGTCTAGATATGAACTTAATATTGTTGCTCACATTAAACTGATTCTGTTTTTGCCTTGGACATCATATCGCCACAATAAACATTTCAAATCTTTTGTGAAGTTTCTTCAGTTTGGTCTTGCTCTTTAACGAAAACTGCTGCTAAATCCCTCTTGGCCTAGAAATTTTTGTTTCCTTATGAAACGAAGGGACCTTAAAGGAGAATTCAGTTAAGGAAACAGCACCATTAAGCATGCATAGTGTTGAGTTATGTGCATTAGATGCTCATTATGGTTTTGTTTCTGTTTTTAAGCTACAGCTGTGCTTGAGTTAGATGTTACAAGAAGTACTCCCCAGAAGGTGTGCATGTTTCCAAGTTATTAAAGTAATTGTAAAGGCAGAGTTTTTTCTTTCTAATAACAAACATGTCATACTTACCTGCTCTGTGCAGTGGTTTTGCACAGAGCAGCCCTCATCCTCCTCTTCTTGGGTCCTTCAGCAGTGCTCCTGGCCCCTCCCTCTTTCCAAGTACCCCCACAGCAAGCAGCTTGCTATGGGGGCTCCTTTCACACGCAGATCCGACTCAGCCCTGTCCCCTGCTCTTTCCGCAATGGTTTACTGGCTGTGAATGACCATGGCTCCCGCTGCTGTATTAGCCAATGAGGAGGGAGAGACCCAGAACAGGCTAGGCTCTCATGAACATCGCTGAATTGAGATTGGGCTCAGGTAAGTATTCGGTGGGGCTGGGGGGCGCTGCACTTGGTGATCTCCATGATGACAATGACACAGCAGATCACAGAGTACATACTGTTGCCAGTTATCGGCAGCATTTTCCTCATGCTGTCACATCGTAAGGAAACTACTTCCGATAACTGGCAGCTGTCACAGAGCAGATCGGCACTGATCATCAGGGCACTGATGACCAGTGCCCAGCAGTGCCACCCATCAGTGCCCAGCAGTGCCCCCCAGTAGTGTCACCCAGCAGATGCGCCCAGCAGTGCTGCCAGTCAGTGTCACCCATCAGTGCCTCCTCATCATCAGTGCCCACCAGTGCCGCCTATCAGTGCTGCCTATTTGTGCCACCTCATCAATGCCCATCAGTGCTGCCTATCAGTGCAGCCTCATCAACGCACATCAGTGAAGGAGAAAATGTACCTGTTTGCAAAATTTTATAATAGAAACAAAGAAAACTTTTTTTTCCAAAGTTTTTTGTTTATAGTGGAAAAAATAAAAAATCCAGTGGCGATTAAATACCACCAAAAGAAAGCTCTGTTTGTGTGAAAAAAAGATAAACATTTCATATGGGTACAGTGTTGCATGACCACACAATTGTCATTCAAAGTGCGAAAGTGCTGAAAACTGAAAATTGGCCTGGGCACGAAGGGGGTATTAGTGCCAAGTAGGCAAGTGGTTAAAGGGGGAACTGCATTGTATCATTCTTATTAGAATCTGTATAATCAAAATAAAGATTATTCTAGATTAAATGAAAACTTTGGACTTCTATTAAAAATCATAGGTTCCACTTCTGCATAGCAGGGGGCATGTCACTCTAGGAAACAGGGTGACATCACAAACAGATGGGGAAGTACTATCTGTGCACATAGAAGCAGCTGACAGTGGCTCCAGCTAGGAATGGATACAAGAGTGGCAGTGGTTCCAAATTTAAAACTTCCCTTTATGAAAATTGTGACAAGAAGTATGCAATCTACCACTGGGAGGTTTGGTATGGGTCTCTGACCAGGACCTTCCTTTCTCTTCTTTCCAGTCTCCATTGCTACTGGAATAGCTGCTATGGCTATATAGTCATATATTTGATTTGTTAGTCAAGACCAGTGGTCTCTAAACTGCGGCCCATAGGGGCCAGATGTCACTCTTTTCTTGCTTTTATATGGCCCTTGGGGCACTATTCAACCAAATAATACCAATGATGGGGCACAATTCCCCCCTAATAACACCATCAATGGGTCACTATTCCTTTCACTGATATCAACAATGGGGCACTATTCCTCCCATTATAACCAATGATGGGGCAGTGATGCCAGGGCATTTTCTACTCCCACTAGCCAAAGTCGCCAATGTTTGAAGGATTGTAAACTGACCCTTTGCTTAGAAAGTTTGGAGACCCCTGGGCAAGACCATCTAAATCTGCTAGTACATCTAACACTACCCCTCCCCAGATTGACAGTGTTGTTGTCCCTCCATTGTTCCTCCATCCAGAGTGGAGAGACTCTAAGACAGGAAAAAAACACTGGAAAATTAAAGGAAAAAAATTAAACTAAATCCGCTACCACGTTTAAGGAGTTGTGCATATATGTATGTGTGTATGTATATATGTGTGTGTGTGTATATATATATATATATATATATATATATATATATATATATATATAATGTGTGTGTGCATTTTTTGTTTTGGGAATTTTTTACTGCATTGTGTAGTTTAAAAACATTTAAGAGCAAACATTTAAGAGCAATGATTAGAATTGCTAACCATGGAAAATCATGGAGAAGACTGCAGGAAATCTTCAGCCTGCTTGAAAATTTGCATAAAATAATTTTCAAGAAAGGGTGCTTCTCTGAGAAAAGGGAGCAACCTTTCACTAGGTATATATATTCTAAAAATTGATCTGCGGTGGAAGGAGAAGCCCTTGCCTGTGATCAATGGCCTTTGGCATTCATTTACAAAATGGGCAATTGTTCTTTGATGACCAATCTACCTGTATATGACCAATACTAACTATTTTATGTTATTGATAACCAAAGCTATACAGAGGAAATTAGTCACTGCTATGTCACTGTTCAGAAATCAGGATTTAGAAATACATCAAACAAATGTAGCTATTTTATCCTCCTGCATCATTCTACACTCCAGGGTTTTATCTCCCTTTTTACCTCCCTCTTGCCTGATCATCTTTCCTGTGTTTAACTTAAGACACATGTTTTATTGGAGTGCGTTTGTACTGTAAGTCTCCGCGTCCTGCCAGCTTGTGTTCTGCTATGCCATTCAGGAAGCTCTGTCAGCTGACACAGTTCCAAAGATAACTATGTTTTCCACAGCCTTAACTTGGGGATTTACATCCTCCCTAGACTTCTAACCTCATCAACATCACATGGGGATTCATTGTATGTGTAGCTTTTTTAGGAAAGATATTTTATGCAGTAATATAACTTCAGTGCTAGAAAATATAGTCTCACTCCATTTTAGTACAATACTTCAGAAAGTTTTACAGTTCCCTTGTGGCACAAAATACTTTTTTTTTTTTGTGTCTGGCATATGAACAGTTTATGAAATTATTACTGGTTGCAATGATTTATGCTAATAATATACACTGCTCATAAAAATTGAACACTTTGAAAACACATCAGATCTCAATGGGGAGAAATATCATGCTGGATATCTACAGTAAAGAAAATAGGTTTTTGATGCCCTGCTGATTTTGAATGTTTGCCCACTCACAAAGAAATGATCAGTCTAAAAATTGAATGGTAGGTGTATTGTAACACTGAGAGACAGAATAGCAACAAAAAAATTCAAAAGAAATGCATGTCATTCAGCAGGATTTCTGGCTACCAGGTGTCTTTTTTATACAGGTAACAAGCTGAGATTAGAAGCAGACTCTTAAAGGGAGTGCTGCTAATCTAATTTTGTTACCTGTATAAAAGATACCTGTCTACAGGAACAATCAAACAATCAGATTCCAAACTCTCCACCATGTCAAAGACCAAAGAGCTGTCCAAGGATGTCAGGGACAAGATTGTAGACCTACACAAGTCTTGACTGGGCTACCAAACTATCGCCTAGCAGCTTGGTGAGAAGGTGATAATAGTTGGTGCAATCATTCGCAAGTGGAAGAAACACAAAACAACTGTCAGTCTCCCTAGGTCTGGTGCAGCATGCAAGATCTCAAGATCTCACCTCGTGGAGTGTTAATGATCATGAGAACAGTGAGGAATTATCCCAGAACAACACGTGAGGATCTTGTCAATGATCTCCAGGCAGTTGGGACCACATTCACTAAGAAAACAATTGGTAATACACTACGCCGAAAGGATTGAAATCCTGCAGTGCCTGCAAGGTCCCTCTGCTCAAGAAAGCACATGTCCAGGCCCGTCTGAAGTTTGCCACTGAACATCTGAATGATGCAGAGGAGAACTGGTTGAAAGTGTTGTGGTCAGATGAGACCAAAATCAAGCTCTATGGCATCAACTCAACTCTATGACCCCAAGAACACCATCCCAACTCTCAAACATGGTGGTGGAAACATTCTGCTTTAGGGTGTTTTTCTGCTAAGGGGACAGGACAACTGCACCGCATCAAAGGGACGATGGTCGGGGCAATGTACCGTCAAATCTTGGGTGAGAACCTTTTCTCCTCAGCCAGGGCATTGAAAATGGGTCGTGGATGGGTGTTCCAGCAGGACAATGACCCAAAACACACGGCCAAGGCAACAAAGGAGTGGCTCAAGAAGAAGCACATTAAGGTCCTTGAGTGGCCTAGCCAGTCTTCAGAACTTAATCTGATTGAAAATCTGTGGAGGGAGCTGAAAGTTCGAGTTGCCAAACAGCCATCAAACCTTAATGACTTGGAGAGGATCTGCTAAGAGGAGTGGGCCAAAATCCCTCCTGAGATGTGTGCAAACCTGGTGGCCAACTACAGGAAACGTCTGACCTCTGATTGCCAACAAGGGATTTGCCACCAAGTACTAAGTCATGTTTTCTGAAGGGGATCAAATACTTCATGCAAATCAGTGCATAATTTGTTAAACATGCATTTCTTTTGAAGTTTTTGTTGCTATTCTGTCTCTCAGTGTTACAATATACCTACCATTTGATTTTTAGACTGATCATTTCTTTGTTAGTGGACAAACATTCAAAATCAGCAGGGGATCAAATACTTATTTCCTTCACTGTATACTGATATGGACTGGGTAATGTG